CTCCTTAGTGATGACCCCTCCTTTCCATTGGGAGTAAGCCTCCTTTTTGGCAAGGAGACATTCCCGGATGTTTTTAGTGAGCCATGGAGGCTTATATGCTCTCCTGCCCCCTTTGACCCTCCTGGGGATTACCTTCCTCTGGGCTTGCAGGATCGTCTCCTTAAGGAGCGACCACTCCCCTTGGACACCTCAATTAACTATTCTCCAAAACATGTCCTCTGATCAATGCTGCTTTGATTTCTGTGCTCAGTTCACAGTTAAAGCTCAATTACAACAGAAATGTTAAGATATTTAGCATGAACTGCACATTCTTTTAAGAACTCTGTAATTGATGCTTAACTGACTTGCAACTGAAGTGAGACCCTATAAAAATCTAAACATCAGAAGTGAACATAGTAGGGTTAGAACAATTCTGAGCAGTTCTGAGGCTCACAAAAATATATATAAAAAAGGAAAACAAATGTTTTCTGGCAGCCAGTCCATGTTTGCATAACTCCTTTCATACAGGTAACAATTGTTTATCCCACTATGTTCAAAGGGAATGCTCATTTCTGTGCTCTAGCTGTCTTTAAAGAGCAACACTGACAGTTTTAAAAGTCTGATGAATACCAAACTACTCCTCACTGTCAGGGGGCAATGGACTACTCTCTTATCTTTTTAGAAGATAGTCAGGTGTCACAGTGATAACCTCAGGATATACAGACATAATCTTTTCCTAAGAGTTGAGAAGTTTGCATTCTGATCTGCTACTCTCAGCCATGCCGTGGAAGTGCTGTTTAGGTCCTTCCATATCTATTTGTTTCTCACCCAAAGCTTGCTCCGCTCTATGGCCTTCCTGCAGCAAACCTCGATCAAACTAGGAAGCTCTCATTTGTTGGCTATTGTTAGTTCTGACACATTTTGGCACTTAAAATAGCACTTACATCATCAAAGCACTTTGCAAAGATGAACTAACTAATTAATTATTTCACTACATCCTCTTTTTGGCCAAGTGCAGGGTGACACCACCGATGTAGGTGCTCCAGGAGTAGACTGTATCACAAATGCCTCACAAAGGACAAAGCTTACACTGTGGGGCAACTGAGTATGTGATTTGTATTGTGGGAGAAAAGAACTGAAAGAAAAATAAATGGAAGAGGATGGGGTGCACTAGGGCAGGGGAAACCAGAATGAGGGGGAAACTGGAGAGATTGCCAAGCAATAGAATATCAGTTTTGTCCCAAAGAGGTGACATTCCTCATTCCTCCCTTAACATACTCAATTATTAGTGGTTGTCTGGTGGGAAGACATTACCAGTCATTGTAAAACATCAACTGCTAGATTTGTAATGAGTATTGATTTTGAATCTTGGCTAAAACTGATGGGCAGAAGTGATCTAAGGACAAGGTTAAACAAAACTGCAGAATGTATATCTTCATCTTGCTTGATTCAAACAATGGTTCTACAGTACCTAATGTAACACATTTAAAAACTATTACATACCTGCCATATTTAGGCAGGTAAAAATCTCACACAACCTTCAAAGAATAGACTTTGTTATGAAAGAAAGCACATTGTCATGTGAAGTTTAATATTATTTCAGCTCTTCTTTTGCCCATAGACTCTACTGTAGACAGCTGAAATTACTGTAGTGGATTTAAACAAATATGGGAATGACAATGATAGAAAGTTAAAGGAACAAGCCAGACAGACAAAGGTAGGAATTTCCCCTTAAAGTGCTATAAACTATTAACATATAAGACAACATATTATGGGCAGAATAATGTCTCCTTCTCTGTAAAAGAAGGCAAAATAAAGTGGGGAACCTTTCCTTTCACCAAGCAAGTGACAGGATGCAATCATTATCTAGGACACAAGAATGCACTGACAGATCAGCTAAGAAAATGCTCAGGTCTGTACCTTGCATCTCCAAAAGTACATAATCTACAGGTTAGAAAGCTGTATTAACTAAGGTTATATTAGCTAGTATATGTGCTCTCCTAGGCAAAAGCCTGCTGCTTTTACTGAGAGAAGCAACAAAATTCGCATCATGGCAGGGAGCCCAACCCTCTGGTGAAAGGAACATGAGAAACAACTAAATTCCCACCTCAGTATGGTGGCCCCCCCTGCCACCTGGAAAACTGTAATAAACTAGAACCAATACTACATTTCTCCTTTCCCAACACAGTCTACAATAAGATTTGACTTAGATACCCTACATCACAAGTGAAAAAATAAATCCTATAGAAAGGTATGATATGTATGAAATTATGTCTTACATAGGATGCATCCACACATGCCATTAAGGCAATGTGATAAATTCCAGTGCAGTTCATGCTGGAGTAAACTGCTTCCAGGAACAACATTTCCACATGTGCCCAGGACTGCAAAAGTTTGAGTCTGGGCTGGCAGCAGGATCAGAGGATCAGCCCAGGGCTCAGGGTGATGGCATCGGGGAGTGGAGGAACTGGCTGTGGCACAAGAGCGCCCAAAGAGCAGAGCCATGTGGCTAGGCAGCAGGCAGGGGTCTGGCTGCCTGGTACCTGGGCTGACCAGGAGCAATGTAGGCTCAGGTCAGCATTTGCAACTGCATTAAAGCACAGTTATTTTTGCCACCATAAGCTAAAACTGTCTGTGGCAGTATTACCTTAAGGTGGTGAAAATTAGTTTGCTGCGATCTAATAGCATTGTATGTGTAGACTGTGATGCTTTACACCATAACAAATTAGTCTACTGCACAGTTAAGCACATGTGTAGATGTGCCCCTACCATTCTAAAAGTGTTGAACATATAGACAGTATATGGCTCTCCTCTTGAAGCTGGCCACTGTACCGTGCATTTAACATTATTTGGAGAAAGTGCATACACAGCACTGGGAAAGTTTCTGCCTGTTTGAAACAGGGCTAAGGCCAAAACATAGGGCCTTTTCCATTCTCAGACCACATCCATCTCTCAGAGCCACAAATCCTCTAGCTTGATGTCTTCCACCTTGTCCCAGGTTTTTCCCGTTTGTTGTCCAGTGAATCAATTTCAAGAGGTGGGTTGGAGAGGAGGTTGGACTACATTTGGCCTATGACATAAAGGGGGTCTAGAACTATATCCTCCACTCCTTAGGCAAGTGCTCCAACTACCAGACTTTTGATCTAAATAGCAAAAGGATTATCCTTTTCCCTTGACTCCACTTTATTTTCAGCAGATTCCAGTGCAATTCCAAGTTCAACACAGGAAACAAAAGAGTCCCAAGCTGTGCATACATGCCAAAAATACAATTCCATGCCTCTGGACATGCTATTTAGACATAAAAAGCAAAACAAGAATTACCCTAGTGTGTCCACTCCTTGTTTACATTGAAAAGGCTAGGTTACGTGTGTTCAAGCCACCAGTGAATACAATGTAAGAAAAATATGAAGTAACATAATCATTCAGAGGAGAAAAAGCTAGGTTCCAAATTACTTTGTAAACCGTACCCTCAAGAAAGCATATAATCTGCATCCTATTTCCATTCTGAAGCATTATCATTTGCAAAATACTTCAAATAATACTCCAGGATATCACAGGAAGGAACTGTACTACAATATAGAAAGAATGAAGAATAAACCCTTGTTTCAGAATGAATCATTATGTAAGCATTAAGTTCATTCCTACCGTTTAGTATCAGTAGTAGTAGTTGTTGTAGCCGCATTTGGTAGGGTCTGAGCCTGCCTGTATGAAAACAAAAATAGTTCTTTTTAAGGAAGAAAATTCATTTGTGAATCCAGAAGTTCAGCAGAATACTGAAAATGTGGGGACTGTCTTTTATAAGATGGCTATACCTCCACGGTTAAAATTGTATAGACCTTCCCAATAAATGCCAGGTTTTATCCTACCAACTTCTAACAGCTCTTTCAAAACAAAACCAAAGCAGCTGAAATGTGTCAGGCATCCTCCCATGACAGATTTTTTTTTAAAGTTTTTGTTGAGTGAAAAATGGCTATTTCAAATCACCCAGGTACACATTTTTGACAACATGAATTTAATAAAAAGCTTTCTACCTTTCTTAATATTGCCCTTTTAAAATCTTACCTAGAAACCCAAAGTGGTCTCATACAGACAGTGATGCCTGTGCAGTAGGTCAGCATAATCTTTATGCAACACCAAACTAAACCCTTTTTAAAGAATCCAATGTGTGTCTTACTGTGCAGGGATGAATTTTTATTTTTTATCCCATATCCTATTCCCTCTCTAAAATGTTCCTTTCATCTTTAAAGGCACTCACACAGTCTTCAGTCATCTCAAGCACTAAATACAACTCTTCTCTACCCTGCTCAAGCCCCTGGAAAATTGTTAATTGATCTAGTTTCATAAAATATACCTTCATCTTAGCCTTACGTGTGTTCATTACAAAAAGTGAGGAAGAGGAGAACCTACCCCATCTTTTGCCTAATAGCTTAGTGGTTCCCAGGAAGTAGGAGACCAGGTTAATACATTTTGCATTAAATAGTCATTGGATAAAATGCATAAATCGCATTAGGAACAGGGAGCAGAACCCTTCCTCCTCTGGCTTGCCTGGATTTCAGCAGTAGGAGCACTGGGGCTAAATTCAGATGTTCAGAAAGCCCCTAGCAGAAGCACTGTAACTATCACACTTTACTTAAAGTGCTATAAGTTAAAGTAGAAGTGAACCGAATAGACATTCACTGTTGTGTGGGCGAGGGGGCTTGGAGCCTGCCCACACTAGCTGAGGCCAGGCTGGGGGTCCCAGGAGGCCTCCCAGGAGGCTGCCAGAGTAGCCCTTCTCTATAGCCCTGCCCTCTCTGCCAGCTGGCAACTATCAGCAGTGGCTGGGGGAGAGGGGGAGGAATGGAGCCCCTATGCCACTCAGGCCTCCCCCCCTGCCCCCAGATTCCTGGCTCAGGTCTTGGGGGGCAGGGGGAGGGGGCTGGGCTGGGTCTGCACAGTCAGGTGGGGCTCCCTCCCTACTGGCTCCAGCCTCGTGACAGCTGAACCCAGGAGCTGCAGCATGAGGCTGCCTAGCCTAGCTTTTCACCATGTTGGGAACTGGAGGTAGGTGAACAGAGCCCCCCTGCCACAAGAACCTGTCCCTCCCATCCCTCTCCCTCAAGACCCAACCAAGCATTCTGGAGGGAGCCTGCATGGCATGGGGTCTCCATTCCCCCAACTCCCTACCTAGCTGTACAGACAGGAGACAGAGCCTTTTGTGTCTCCTCTCTGTGACAGCCCAGGGGCCAGACTGAGCTGCTGCTCACCAGGAGAAGATAAGCACTGGCCAAGGCTAGCAAGCCACCCAGGAGGGGTCCCTGGGATGCCAGGGGAATACAACCTACCTTGACTGACGGTGGGAGAGTACAGACATTTGATAAAGTGCTTTAACCTAAAGCACTTTAGTTGGATACTACATCCATCCAAGGCTAACTTAGATTGGGATCCACCATTTTTAAGTGTTTTATGTGCTGTGAACATCTGTTCTGTTATAGCTGTAAAGTACTTTCTGCACACTTAATGTGCGATAAATGTAACATCTGTACTTAGCCTGAAAGAACAACACAGAAAGTCTCCATGCTCTCAGTTTCGGTGGCCACCTCTACCTCAGCCTGCAGCAGCTGGGAAGATAAATTACAGGAAAAGTCCTGCTCAGCCCTACAGTCCCATCACAAAGGATTCTAGGTGCAGACAGAATCTTTTAAGGATTTAGGTATCAAATTCTGAACAGTCTCTATAAAGTATGCATGAAGTGAGATTTTTCCAAGTGTTACAATTTAAAGAAATTAGGGTGGGTTTACAACAAAACAGCAAGCAACACATCCCAGACAGTAAAATGATTTCCCCCTCCCCCTCATACACACAGTTACCAAATTCCAAGACTGTGCTTAAAAAGCATTGAAAGACATTTTTAACATGGGCAAAGCATTCATTTCCAACCCAAGCTTGAAAAATGGACTAAATGTATTTGCTGAATTCATTAAAAAAAACACCAAACAAGTATATCAGCTCAAAATAAATACCTGAGCTGAAAAATCTGAGCAGAAATATTTCAAGTATAAGCAACTGAAAACTGGGTCACATAACTGAAGTGTCAGGTGATCTGTATAATCTATAATACATGCAGCTAAACAAACATTAATATTAACGTTGCAAGTACATTCCTAGCTATCATACTATCCTTCCTTATTCATACCTATCTTACACAAATCATGCTTTTGTCACCAAGAGGTAATGCAGCACCCCTCACTGAAGTCTGCCAAGGATGGGATAGTTCGTGCCCCATTGGGAGCAGGGGGTCAGGCTAGAACTAGAGCCTTTCCATTTCAGGTCAGCATCCAGCTCACTGACCTACTCAAAATAAAGATAGTTAGTTCTCCATCTATTATGTGCAGGTCAGGGGTCTAGCTCAAGGCTCTTCAATTTCTAAGTGACCAGGGGCCACACTACACAGTCTACACCACATGTGACATGGCCTGCACCTGTGCAGAGCATGAGCTCATTGGGCTGCATGTCATGCCAGTATCTCCCTGCTGTACCACACTGCATGGATGCCCCAGCCCCCAAGATTGCCCCTTATCTGTAGGGTCCACCACTCCACTGGAGAGTCCCACCCCTAGGGTGGGGTGGGAGCAGAAAACAGAAGCTGGAGGAGGGAGCCAGAGCCTAGAGACCCTGGTTACTGCTGCAGTCAGAGCAATGGGAGAGCAGTGGTTGGGTAGGAGCCTAGGGTTCACCAATTAACCAAGGGCTACAAGTTAGACAGCCCTGGTCTAGCTGCATATTTCAACCAGACCTCAAAAAGGAACCATCATCTTATTTTTGGTGCAGAAGGTATCTATTAAATTTTCCCCTTTCAAAATCTGGGCCAGGAGGAAATGGTAGGGTATCCTGTATTTAACATGGGATATATGGGAGGAACAGATTCCCATAACAGAACTTGATGTAAAATACCAGTTGAAATTCCAAAGGAGATTTGGAACCCCCAGACACCTTTGCTAAGAGGAATCTCTTTAATGCTTAGCCATCCCAGGAATGGCCTATAACAAACATGATTTATGTGTACTCAAGGGTGGATCCAGGGGAATGCTGTGGTGCAGTTGTGTCTCCCTTGGGTTTTGCTGTACATGCCCTTAGACAACGGGTTTAGCATGCAGAATACAAATTGCTGGGGTGGGGAAGAGTCTTTAAGAGCGTTTGTTACTGCTTACCTTTTAGTTTCCACAGAGTCTGTAGATACCTTATAACCTGAGACAGGGGGTGGCATCCAAGATTGCCTGTAAAGTATTAAACAAAATATAAAGCATGGGTATTTTATATTTAGTGAAGAATAGCAATTCAGCTCTGCTTTTCTATATAAAATACATTGAAAGGAGAATATTAGTATCTAAAAAATGGTATGAAAATCTTACAAGCTTTTTCTGAGATTAGCTTTTTCTTCCAACTTCTTTTCCAGAGCCTTAGTAACAGCTGCCATATTGATATACTATTATGATCACTTTGTTAGTGCACTTGAGGGAATTTGAGGTAAGTAGACATAAAATTAAAGCTTTAAGTAGTGTGGTGTCTCTGAAATATACTTCTTGGGTGTAAGCGATGGAAGAATTTAGCCATTTTGTGCTAATACAAACAGGTCGCATGATGAAGAACTTGATGGCAAATGTAAGACATATACATCAGGGTGCCAAACACCCAGGTATTTATGTCATTGGAAACAACACATTCAGACTGTGCAGAATCTTATTTTTTGTTGTT